ATAATGATAAGAGAGAGTTGATAAATGAAATTGAAAGAGTTGAAAATAGTTTGAGAGAACATGAAGTTAATTTTGAATGTTTCCAAAATGTTAACAAATTGAAATTGAAAAAGAAAGATTTGTTCAAGTCACTAGCTGAAATCAAAGACAAAATAGAAGATATTGAATATGCTAAAGACACACTTATATTCGAAATTAAAACTCAAAAAAGAAACAAGATTGGTAAAGTTGAGGAAATTGAAAGATTGGAGAAGAAACTTTCTGACATGATTCAGGAATTATCAAACATGCACGAAAGAAAATCAGAAATCCAAAACGACTTGATGGAGCTGATTCCTAAATTTCCTGAAATTATTATTGAAATGGAACAACCATTAGCAATAGATGGTGTTGTCATTTCATCATCAATGACACCAAAAGAAAAATTCAGAGTATTTGCACTTCAAAACTCTATTTTACTTTTAAATACTCAATTTTCAAATTATACTAACATTCAAACACTTCACACTGGATTATCAGTTGTTTACAAAGCAAGCAAATCTAATAGTCAGGTGGTTATTCTCAAAGAAATTTCTCTTTCAGAAAATAATTGTGAAACAGTAATGAATGAAATTATGAATTTGGTTATACTCAAAGGTCATCCTAGAATTATCAAATTGAATGGTGTATTTATTGAATCACAATTTAATAAGGTTTATATTGAAACACCATATTATTCAAATGGAAATTTACTGGAGTATATCAACAAGATTAGAAATCATCATGATTTACCAACTTTGAAGAACATGTTGAGAAGTTTATTTAGAAAAATGACAGAAACACTTCAATTTATCCATTCCAAAGATATTCTGCACAGAGATTTAAAACCTCAAAATATTTTGGTGAATGAAAATGGAGAACCAATTATTGCAGATTTTGGATCAAGTAAGAAACTAATTGCTCAATTGACAAATAATACAATGGGAGTTGGAACATTGAAATATATGGCACCAGAAGTGAAAAGACAAGAAGAATCACCAAGTGAAAAATCAGACATTTGGTCATTGGGTGTTTCATTGTATGAATGTTGGCAATTGATTCAACAAATAAGTATGATGAATAATGCAACAGTTGAAATATTGAACTTTGACTCGAAGGGTAAGGTAGTTTTACCTACCAGTACTTTGAATGATGAAATTGATATAACATTGATGAAAATGTTGAGTCACATGTTCAATAGCAATCCAGAAGACAGACCAAGTTCATTAACACTACTGACAGATTCAGATTATTTCACAAATGAAAATCCTACAACAGATATACTTTCTAAATCTAATCAAAAAGAATTGGAAGGTTCTGAAAAGATATCACTTTGGCAAGCAAGATTAAAGAAGATGAAACAATTTTTGCCTGAAAGCACAGAAGGAGAAATCAAGGTTGACATCTATAGACACCGTCTATTGGAAGATATTGCCTCTATATATAAGGATTTGATACCAATAGGGTATTCAGTGATATTTTACAAAACATTTGTGAAATATAAGGGAGAGACTGGAATAGACGCAGGAGGATTATCCAATGAGATGTATTCTAAATATATTGAAGCCATACTGGAAAGCAAACATTTTCAAAATAGCGAAAGCTCACCAAATGAAAATTTCATTTTAACTGATGAACCACTCACAGATGAATCTAAAAATCAATTGAGAACACTTGGGTTGTTATTGAAAAAGTTATTAATTGACTGTGACGACAAGACAGTTTATCTTCCATTGAATAGCTTTATATTTTATTATTTATTGAATGGAAATGCTCTCAACAAAGAAACACTCCAATTTAATGCTATATCCCTTTTACTATCAAAATTCTTGAGAGAATATGATTTTGAATTGGATAATCAAATATTTAGTGTGAAAAAATGTAAAAATGATGAAGAATTACAATCAATTACAATGGAAGAAACATTTATTGATGTTTTATCAAAGAGTGAGAAACCATTAATAATGGAAAATGTTCAATTATTCATCATTTCACAATTATATTCATATTTTTATTCTGATTTAAAGATTGAAAAATTGAAATTAATCAAACAAGGATTTGACTGGTTTAATTTGACTAAATTCAAACAAAGCTCAAAATTACCACCCAAGTTGAAAGAATTCCTAGACCTCCAAGGATCAAATTTTGATGAGAAGTGTTTGAGTGTGAATGAATTGAAAATTCTCCTCTCAGGTCAATCATATATTGATGCTGATTTATTATTGAATGAAATAGACATGACCAGAATTTCACCAATAATGCAAGATCACTTCACTAAATGTATTAGAAAATTAACAAAAAGTCAATTGAGACAATTACTTGTTTGGATGACTTCACTTTCAAGCATTCCAATCAGAGGTTTTTCAAGAAAGATCTCAATTCGTGAATATAACAGATTTGAATCTCATACCTGTTCATTTGTATTTGATATTCCATCTCAAATAACCAATTATGAACAATTTGAAACTCAATTCATGAATTGTTTGAGATTGTCATCTGTTGCAACTATGGAAGATCAATAGGACAATTCTTGTTGGTATTCTTGTCACTGCACCAACAGGATTAATTAGAGTATTACTGACTGGTGGTAGTACTTGAGCAATTGGTGGTTGATTCAAATCTACGATCATTATCAGAATTCATTAAAATCCAGCTTCTGAAGTGCAGCTTTGATTAGCTTGCCCCAATTCAGTGGAAATTGTTTTTCTTGCATTTGTAAATCATATAATCATCAAATTTAAGGTACTCAATTACTTTTGAAGTTTTGGAACTAAGCTGATTTGATATTGTGTTTTTTCTTTGATGGATTGAAATCCTAAGAAGAATTCATGTTATTGCCAACGAACATACAACAAGCAACAATAAGGGTAGAACGAGATTGGATGTTTTAAGTGATAATCACTTATTATCCAATAAAAAAAATTCAGCAAATGGCTCTTTGTGTCTGATTTTCGGAAGCACACCATCTACCATCTATTTAATTTTTATTGGAGTTCTGATCATTTTGGAATTTATTCTTCATAACCCAATTGGAATCATCATCAATGTTTTCCAATTATCAAAATAATATTAGTATTTTTGTGGAAATTATTGTATCTATGATTTTACGGTGGTATACAGATATTTCTTTAATATAGCAAAGCATTAAAGATGATGAAAATTGGAGTGGGTATTAATTCTCCAAAGTGTTCTCCGTATCATTGAAATCTTCCATTGTTGCAACAGATGACAATCTCAAACAATTCATGAATAGTGTTTCAAATTCTTCATAAGTGGTTATTTGTGAAGGAATATCAAATGAGAAAGAACATGTATGGGCTTCAAATCTTTTTTGCTCACGAATTGAGATCTTTCTTGAAAAACCTCTAATCGGAATGCTTGAAAGTGCTGTCATCCAAACAAGTAATTGTCTCAATTGACTATTTGTTAATTTTCTTATACATTTAGTGAGGAAATCTTTCATAGTTTCCGAAACAAAATAGAAATTAATTTCATTTAACAATAAATCATCATCAATATATGATTGACCTGATAGGAGAATTTTCAATTCATTCACACTCAAATCTTGTTCAACAAAGTTTGGTCCTTGAAGGTGGAAAAATTCTCTCAATTCAGATTCAGTTGAAATACTAAAACTACAAATCAATTGAGTTTTGAATTGTTTCAAATTGAACCAATCAAATCCTTCTTTGATTAATTTCAATTTTTCCATTCTTATAGCACTGTAAAAGTATGGATGTAATTGAGAAATGATATAGAGATGGATATTGTCCATAATAAGTGGTTTCTCAGTCTTTGATAAAACATCTGTGAACGTTTCTTCATATGCAATAGATTGTAATTCCTTATCATTCTTACATTTTCTCAGATTCATAATTTGATTATCTAATTCAAAATCATATTCTCTCAAGAATTTTGAAAGTGTCAAGATCATGTCATTGATGTGTAGTGCTTGTTTCTTATAAATTATATCACCATTCAATAAATAATAGAATATAAAACTATTCAATGGAAGATAAACTGTCTTGTCGTCACAGTCAATTAATAACTTTTTCAATAACCATCCAAAGGCCTTTAACTGAATTCTTGATTCATCTGTGAGTGGTTCATCAGTTAGAATGAAATTTTCGTTGGAAGATGTTTCACTCTTTTGAAAATGTTTGCTTTCCATTAACATGGATTCAGTATATTTGGAATAGAGTTCATTTGACAAACCTCCTACGTCTATCCCTTTCTCTTCCTTAAATTTTACAAATGTTTTGTAAAATATTGAATAGTTGTTATCTTTAGTCATGACTTTTTCAACAGTTAAAGAAGTATCTGTCAATAAATTTTCTCTGTCTATGTCAAATCTAATTTCGTTGCTAGGTGAAACTAAATAACCTTCTCTTCGGGCTAACGCAAGTTGTTTGAGTTTTTTCAATCTTGCCTGCCACAATGATAACTTTTCGGAGCTATCTAGTTTTTGATTTGATGTAGAAAGTAATTCGACAGTAATTGGATTTTCATTTGTGAAATAATCTCCATTTTCATTCACCAAAATATTTTGAGGTTTTAAATCTCTGTGAAGAATATCTTTGGAATGAATAAATTGAAGTGTTTCCGTGATTTTTCTAAATAAACTTCTCAACATGATTTTCAAAGTTTTAGTGTCGTGTTGAGGTTTAATCTTGTTGACATATTCCAATAAATTTCCATTTGAATAATATGGCGTTTCAATATAAATCTTATTAAAATTAGGTTCGATGAACACACCATTCAATTTGATAATTCTTGAATGTACTTTCAATCTTACAATATTCATAATTTCATTCATAATAGCATCACAATTATTGTCTGTTGATTGAGAAAGTGAAATTTCTTTAAGAATAACCACTTGATTGTTTGACTTGCTTGATTTGTAGACAACTGATAATCCACTATGAACTGTTCCCATGATTGTATAATTTGAAAATTGAGTATTAAAAAGAAATATTGAGTTTTGAAGTGCAAATATTCTGAATTTTTCTTCAGGTGTGTTGCTTGTTGAAATAACAACACCATCTGCTGTTAGTGGTTGTTTCATTTCTACAATTATTTCTGGGAATGTTGAAATCAATTCCATTAAATTCTGTTCAATTTCTGTTTTTTGTTCATTCAATTCGGAAATCTTTTTTCCCATTTCAGAAAGTTTCTTCTCCAATCTTTCAATATCTTCATTGTTTGTTCCAATTTTGTTTTTTCTAAGCTTTTTAATTTGAAGTCCAATTTCGTCCTTTTCCAAATCAATTTCATCAATGTCGTCCTTAATTAAGGCAAGTGATTTTAAAAGATCTTTCTTTTTCAATTTCAACTTGTTAATATTTTGAAAACATTCAAGATTTGTTGCATTTTCTCTAATGTTATCTTCCATTCTCTCAACTTGTTCCAACAATTCCTTGTTGTCCTTATCAAATTCACTTAATTTTCCAGAATAGTTTGTAATTATTTCGTCTCTAATTCTATCTCTCTCTTCAGTAAGTAGATACAACTCTTTAAATTCAACACTCTTTTCACAAGCGGACATTTCAGAGATTTGTTTTTCGATTCTATTTAATTCTTTTTTGAGCAAATGAATAGTTTGAGCTGATTTTGGAATTCTCACAACTGGTTCAACAACTGTAATACGACTTGCTTCCATTAATTGATTTTCCAAAATTTTGATTCGTTCTAAATGTTC